AATGCATTTATTTGTAGCCCCGAGTAGTGCAACATCATCAGCAAAGTCCAAGTCCGTCAATCGGAGCTGTTCATGCCATGGGATACCAAAGGCAGTCTGGTTCATTACTCTCCTCATTATGTAGTCGATGGCTAGGAGGAAAAGGAAGGGAGATAAGATGCACCCCTGTCTCACACCTGTCTTGATTGTAAAAAACTCTGTTGTTCCCTCTTCTGTTTTAATGCAGCAACTAGATTGACTGTAAAGGTGTCGTAGGATCTGGACGAATTTTTCTGGGATACCATATTCTCTAACTATTTTCCATAGTGATTCTTGGTGGACACTATCAAACGCTTTTTGAAGTCGACGAAACAGATCGTTAGCCGTTGTTGGTTCTCAAGACTTTGTTCTATGATATTTCGTAGAACGAAAATCTGCTCTGTACATGACCTGCTTGTTCTTCTCTGAGCCTTTCATCTACAGACTGTTGAAGCCGTCTCAACAAAACAGTGCTGAAAACTTTGCCTGGGACAGAGAGGAGAGTAATGCCCCTCCAGTTGTTGCAGTCTGCCAAGTTGCCCTTTTTTGGAAGCTTTACAATCACTCCCTTTTGCCAGTCCTCTGGGACTTTTGAAGTTCGAAGAGCATGTATTCTCCTATAATTGAATATCACATTTTCTGATAACAAACAAAAAAGTTATTTAAATTTAATCAGAACAGGATACAAATGAGCAAAATTAATATTACTATCGGAATGAGAAAAATAATTACGGAGAGAAAGAGTTAAAAAAAAAAAAAAGGATTGATTACTTGTGGGAAATTTGGGAATAGAATGTTCTTATATTTAAATTTAATTATCAGGTGTAGATTTAATTGTTGATTTTATAAGTTTAGATGTTTTTTCAGTTCCTGACCAATATATTTGCTTTGAAGTTGAAACTAAATATGGATAATTATAAATGTTATTAAATATATTGGATATTAATTTTAGTTGTTAAGATTAATGAGCTTAATGAACAATAGTTTTCATTTCTTAACCTTTTTTAAAACATTATAAGAAAGAATAAATTCACATGTACTTTATATTTTACATATTCAGTAAACAGTGACATGCTTCAAATCGAATTGTTAAACCACAGAAGGGAAAATTAATGATAATCATATGAAAGAATTGTTTTGTATTCTCAGGTAACAGAATAACTGTACCCACAGCTAGGACAGAAGAAGCCATACTTAAAGGGCAATTGCTGAAAGAAAAAGGCAACATTATTCTCAGTGGGGGCAATAAACAAAGTCGTGTAAGAATTTTATTTTGCTCTTAAAAAGGAGTATTTGTAAAAAGAATATACAACATAAACATAATATGTTGATTTTTTATTTATTGTAATAATAGTTGCCTGTTAGGTTTTAAAGGGTTAAGTAAATTTAAATTAATTTTTTCTGGTCTACAGTTAACAAGGTTGTAAAGCAGTCATCACAACAATCAGTTATCTTATCTTATCTTATCTTATGAAATATAGATGTTGCTTTAAAAGATGATAATGTCCTACAAAAATTCCTAGGTCAATCTAGTCACACATGCTAATCAATGAATTAAATTATGCCAAGTAATTGGTTTTCCTGGCAGGCTCAGGCAACTCTTTCCATGCCCTAACAGCACTAGGGAAGAAGGAACATTTGTACAAATTTGTCCTAGCATATGGAACAAGGAAGGTGCCTTTATCTTTGAGTCTTTCTGATTATTTTATGTGGTTTATTTTGTATTTCAAATTTATGGTTTAGTGTTTTATGTATGATTGCTACTTTACTTTTAAGTCTTTTATCCTGAAGGGTTTCTAAATTTAGTGATTTTACTAAAGGTTTTACTCTATCAAGTGTGATAGTTATGAATGTTTATAATTAATCACAGCTAAATAACATTTTATTTTTATGTTCTTATTTGATTTATAGAAATTTCTTTTAATAAACCCTAATGCTTTGTTTGATTTTTTTTTATAGTTTCATCAATATGGGTATCCCATGAAACATTTTCATTTATTATAACACCTAGGTATTTTGTGTTTTTAGTCTGTGTTACTTGTTTACCATGAACAAGATAAGTGAAATTTATTTGTTTTAGTTTTTTTGTTATCATATTCTTAATAACTGACATTTTCCTGAGTGGAAAGACATGCTCCAATTTGATTCCTATTTCTGTAATTTATCTAATTCTCTTTGTAAAATATCTGTGTCTTGTGTTGTTTTTATTGCTCTATATATTATGCAATCATCTGCAAATAATCTGACTTTTGTTCCTGAACTAATGCAATTTGGTAAATCATTTATGTTAAATTAAAAATAGTAGTGGACATAAGACTGTTCCTTGAGGTACGCCTGAGTTTACTGTTATTGGTGTTGATTTAGAGCCACTTAAAATTACAGTTTGTTCTCTTGTTATCAGAAAATCCTGAATGCAATGGACCATCAATTCCAAAATATTTTAATTTTTTAAGCAAGCTATGTTGGTGAACTTTGTCAAAAGCCTTAGAAAAATCTAATAAGATAGCATCTATTTGCTCATTATTATCTAAACCTTTTGAAAAATCATAAAATAGTCCTCTTAGTTGTGTTTCACATTATCTATATTTCTTTAAGCCATGTTGGTTTGGAGTGAGGACATTATATTTGTCTATGCGGTTAATGGTGTTGCTACATATTATGTGTTCTAGGGTTTTACATGTGATGCTGGTTAGTGATTCTGATCTGTAGTTTCCTAGGTAAAAATTTTCTCCGTTTTTAAATAGGGGAGTGACATCCCTTGGTACTCTACCCTGGTTAAGAGATGCCTTAAAAATTAAAAATCCCAGTCTTCACTAGCATTTAAACCCAGGACCCTAGTCTAGTTCATTGCCACCTCGCCTCATGCTACAATAATAGTTCACCACAATAACTACAGGGCTTATCTTTTACTCAATTTAGACTGTGGATCCTTTGCCCATCAAAATGGATGCCCCTGAAGATCAAAGACCTGCTGGGATCACATGTGTGCCAGCAGGAGGTAGTGGTGCTACACCAACATGTGTGCAACCCTGTCCCCAATTGGAAAGAACCCATTATGATGATAACCAGCCAAGGGCAATGTCAAGAAAGGAGAGCAGAGAAAGTTTGAAGTGGCCTAAGGTCAGTTCCCTTTTCCTTATAATTTAGTCCTAATTGTAAGATATTCCTTGAGAGTTGAAGATTTACTTCCTAGTCCAAATCTCTGCAGAACAACAGGGGATGGAAGCGGGACCATTGAGAAGTCTGAACGACAGACCAGTGCACATACAGCATGATGAGGCAACCATCAAATTATTTTTACTAAACAATGACATAAACTAGCCATATAATTATTATAACATATTGCGGGAGATTATCATAATCTTTCTTGAGTCATACATGTACATTTTCTGTAGCCACCATAAAAAAGGCTCTATTGGTTTTGTCCTTTTTATTTGTTCACTCACCACATTTAGATCTCAAAACTTAAAAGCTGTTGAGCATCAAATTCATTAAAAGTGCTATTAGCTTTTTTATGGCCTTTTGAAAGTGAATTCTTTGTTTTTAAAATTTAGTACCGGTATGCCAGCGTTTTTTTTTTTACATACGGTACATATATAGCATTTTTAAAACAAGATTAAAAAGTTGTATATATTGTATAGTGGTTGACTGACTGCAAGAACAAGGAAATACTTTTAATGTTATCACAAGAAAAATAATCAAATTGTTTTGTTATTGATGACTTGTAAATTTGGTATATTTTTCATATCTTTCAAATAAGTGTAATTAGCAGATTTTGTTAAAGTCAAATATGTTCTTCTAAGTGCTCTATAGCTACTTCCAAATCCATTCTTGTTTTTGTTGTTTCTTAAAACAAGTAAGCATGGTGTATGAAAAGACATAAACATTTTTGAACACAATATTTTATTGGCAGTTCCTGCTAGTCTCTAATTGTCCCAATGATTGGATACACAAATCTGTTAAGTGTAAAGGAATGTGTTAGTATGAATTATACAAACTCTCTTAACTTTTCATATCCAAGCATGCTAGTGCCAACAGATTGTGACCAAATTAAAAAACATCACTTAATGTTGGTCAACTTTGCATCATAGGCCTTCAAAATTTGAGGACAATTGAAATTGATATTCATTTGATATGCCTTGTTAGTAATGTGTTCTAATGATCCACAAATGGAATTTTCTACTGTAATCCTGCTCAAGCAAAAAAAAAGGAAGCAGGGATAATTGTATTGTTATTAAATGTAAGAGGTGGCCTAATTAATTGTGTACCACATACTTTCTGTTTTACTGTAAGTGTTCTCTTACAGCTTCTCTGACATTTAAACATTCTATATCCGATTCCAGGCTTGCTTATATTTTGAAACACATTGTTAAGTAACAACTTTTTTGTATGTGTGCAGGCCAACACACCACACTGCCAGTCCCCAGTGGTGTATGCAGATAATCCTCACTGTGTGACACAGATGTGTGTAGCAGACGTCAATGTGTAGATCACGTCCAGTATATATACCTGCAATGCTCCACAGAGAAATTAAACACGGCTACTATTTATAGTATTATGTAAACCACAATTTCCAAACAATTAATTTCCTTTTTAAAACATTTTTTTTCTATGTTGTACATTTTCATAGGTCATTATAGCAATTATTCTTTTTAGATCCTTTTATTAACTAGAAATCATATTTTTAACATTTTTAATCTGCATGCATCCAGGACAGCTATAGGTAACTGGATGCCTTAGGTGAAGTGACTTTGGTGGCCCCCAAATGAAAATAAAAAATAAACAACGAAAAAATAAAATAAAGCAATTTATTAAAAACATGTCTTTATCTATATCGAAATCAACAATATGATTTCAACATATTCTAACAAGTAATACTGAACTTTCGTTTAATAAACCTTGAGTCATGGTAATAAGTCTAGCAGACATAAAGCAATAGAGCTTTGCTATGTTTGAGATTTGAACCAATTTACACTGTTTTTCTTCTTATTAAAATTTTTTTAGTCCTATGCGAGGCCCCCTCCAATTGGAGGTCCTAGGCAGCTGCCTAGTTTGCCTATGCCTAAGGTTGGCCCTGATGCATCAATGATGTACATATTTATGTAAGAATTCTGTATATAAAATTTTTCTTTTTTTTTTCACCATTCTAGTTACCATTCTAAAATTTCTATTTATATATTATGGCTGTGATGTAACTAAATTGTTAATTTGAAATTATGTAAAACCCTGTCCTAATGTAAAAACACCCATTTTGCATTCCTGATAATGGAAACCCCAACCTACTATTTATCCGATTAAGAAAATCCAACCTACTGTTTTCCTCAAAGTTTCACACTCTAACCTGTTGTTCACCACACTTGCAATCTACAAAATCCTTTTCTTCAAACTTAGGAATGCTAACCAACTGTTTACAGAATTACAAAGTCCAACCAAGTGTTCAGGAAACTTACAAACTCCAGCTGACTATTCAACAAACCTTTTGTATTCCTGTTTAGGGAACACCAACCTTCTGTTCACCATTGCAAACTTCAAACCTAATGTTCAACAAACCTTTTACACTCCAATTTATGAAAACTCAACTTGCTGATTACCAAATTTAACTAAACTAAAAACCTACCATTCAACAAACTTACTACCTCCAACCTTCTGTTCAACAAATTTCGAAACTCCAACCTACTTTTCACCAAATGTTTTGCATACCAGTACTTTTTGTGAAACCTACACATTCCAACCTACAGTTAACCAAACTTTTGCATTCCTGTTTATCACATCCCAACCTTCGCGTTCCAAACCTACAAATTCCAACCTACAGTTTACCTAACTTTTGCATTCCTGTTTATCACATCCTAACCTTTGGGTTCCAAACCTACAGTTTACTAAACTTTTGTATTTCTGTTTATCAGATCCCAACCATCAGTTCAACAAACCTACTAATTCCAACCAACATTCCAAACTTCTTTCTAATGTTCATCAAACTTATTGTATTTCAGTTAATGAAACTCAAAAAAAGTTACTTAATTCAAAAATGTTTGTGGCAGTAGTTAAGAGTGGAATGAGATCTTGTAGAGATAAAAAAAAATAAAAAAATTCCAATGTTACTTCTACTGTGAAAATAATTTGTTTAGTTGCTAGGTTCAGTTTGCTAGTCAAGGGATGGGTTTGTGTTTCTAAATGCTGAATATAAAAACAGAAAATGATTTTGATTATATTTTTTTTCACATTGTATTTATATAAATATATGTTATTATTTTCATGAACAAAAGATTTTTTTAAAATAATTTTAAATAACTTGTTGAATCTCATTATTGGATGAGATTATGAATGTGAACCATCTCTTATCTTTATAATCCTCTCATAACACATTTTGTAAATATGCAAGAAATAAATATTTTGTTTAGAATCACACATTATTTTTGTGTCTTCTTATGACATGAATTGGTTCTATTATTAATATGGTTAAAGTATGAAGGGCATTTCAATGTTTATTTTGTTTTGCCATTTCTGTTTCAGGCTGAACTGACTTTATAAATGATGTGAACTTCTTAGTGAACATCTTTCCCTTAAATATACTCAATACAAGTTTTACACTACCAACAACTAAAGTACTAGAAAATGATGACTAACAAATACACCAGTATTGAACATTTTGGATATCTAAGACAAAACAAGTAAAACAGTAGTAGTGACTTATCAGGTGGCTAAAGTGTATCAGATTTAGTTACTATAAAAACCGAAATGGCTGAGCCTAAATCCTTAAGAAAATGGCTTTGTCACATTCAGTTACTAAAAATTGGTTATTATAGTTACAATCCTATACACTTTATCTATTTAGATAGAGCCTAAATAATAAATATAGTAAAAACAGCAAAAACACTAAGCCTACCAATAGTAATAATAATAAAAGGCTTATAATAAATTGTTAGGTCTCTCTCTTTATATAACTATATATAAACAAAACCCACAACCAACTTAAAGGACTAAAGACACATACATGTTATTAAAAGTACTGGTACAACTGAACACTACTACCGTACAATGGTATCACCAAAATAATGACTATAAAATTACTGACCGGTGATGAGTAGAGCTTTACCATTTCACTCTCTCCTATAGGTTTTACAAAAACTTCTAGAGACCTGTTGACAAACCTGCAGTTCATTCAGTTTAATCCGAATAGTCACGCTTGATGACCCATAGTATGCCGACCTCAATCGCAAGTTAAGGTTAGGCACCCTCAGATTAATATATTAATTAAAATGCTTTAAAATGTAATTTATCTTTGTTTTTCTATTATAAAAATGTTTTTCTATTCAGATAATAAATAATTGCAATTGTCTATTTACTGAGTATATTTATGAATTTCTTTAAGATCTGTTAATGACAACCTTCGTCATGTAGCAATAGACATTTTTATCTTTCTATCTCAGGAAGCTAGGAAAACAATAATTGAATTTTTTTTTTAAACAGCTACCATCAGTAGTCGAATTACTTCTGATATCACTTACTCAGCTGCTATAACTTTCTATAAATATGTAATAAACACCAAGGACATTTCATTAATTCTGTTGTTGTTTTTTTAATACAATCCCTTTGAATATAGATAACTTGCAAAGGAAACAAAACAATGTATGTTCACTGAATTGATCAAACAGAAATTGTGACATCATTATGCATCAAACATTTTATTCAAGAAAATTTTCTATGGAAACTTGAAATCAAATGTTGAACAAAATTAAATGTAACAAAAACAAACATGCGTGAAAAAAATTGTTAATCTTTACAAGTGAATTTAATCAAGTCAATGAGATGCTTCTCAACAATTTATTCTTCTCATAGGCAGATTTAATAAGAGAGTACTATTGCAGTAGTCTTTTTCAAGAAAAAAAATTAGTTTAAAAATTACCTTCTACAATTAAAAATCAATTGGCTTACTGTTCAAACACAGTCGCCCAATGGGGCGAGACACATTTTTATATTCAAATACTTTGAGTAGCTTTCTTTTTACCACAGTGGCATGCAGTAAATCGCAAATGGTAAATCAGTTGGCTGCTGAACCAAAGGGCTTGAGTTCAATTCTAATAATGACAGGGATATCAATTTTGGAGCATCCCCTTAAACTACCCAGCTCTAATGGTTGGGCACCTGATCTTCATTTGAGGTAATACTTTTGCTGGCCAATTTACTCAACATGGTCCAGTAGTTGCTTAGTCTCATTGGGAATTTTACAATCATTTGTCACCCCCCCCCCCCCCCAAAAAAAAATATTCAAAGATGTTTTTTTGACAATCTACTTGCTGATAAAATAAATATTATGTTATATTCCAACAAGATCAACAGTTTTAGCTTCATATGACGGAAATGGAAGACTAGTTTAGTTTTACCTTTAAGAATCATTATAATCACATTAAGAAAACAAAGTGTCCAAGTACATACATATATACACAGCGGTCACAATGTGAAATTCCAATTAAAGAATATATTCTGTTCATTATTGAATACATTTGAGCTACTAAAACTTGTGCTATATTCATCAAAGCATGAACTCAAGAACAAGAAGCTATATTGAAATATTTTTTCTAATTTATTTTAATTATCTATTTTTATTTAGTTTAAAACAAAGTAATTTGTATGTATAGCAAATAAATAAAAAAAATTGATGGTAAAATACATCGAAGTACCCCAGTTTGTTGACCAAGCCAACATTTAGACCAACATATCTTAACAGATCTAAGCTCATGATTTAATTTTTAAAAAGCCTAACAATGGCAAGAGTTAATGTTTCTTCTTTCTGGGTGTTGAATGTTTCGATTGTTTAGCCGAAGTTCTGAGAATCTGACTCAGCGACAGTTGTGAAACATCTGTGTCAGAGTCTGTGCTGACAACCTGCTGGATATTGGGTGATTTTAAAATGCCAACTGAAGGACTTTTAGTGGGCTCGTAGGGTGCATCTGGCTGCCTGGCTAAGCTCATCAGGTAATCTTTAAATTCTGTGGATTATGTTCAAGGATTAGTAGAGGTAAGCAAGTTGGGTTAAGAGGTGAACATGAGGAGACTAAACACCAGCTGCACTGAACAAGTTAGGTCAAGAGGTGAACACCAGCTACACTGAATAGACCTTCATTTCAAAAAAAGGTTGTTCACAATGTGGGCAGTATTCTTCTTAATAAACATTAATGATGATTACAAATCAGAACATTAAGCAGCTGGTGAATGAGACATTCTTACTGAAAGTTATTGTTCACCCTGCCCATCATATTGTGCTCATTCACCAAATTAATGTATATTAATAGGATATAAAAGATAATTTTTTAAGAGTCAGAGGAATTAATAGAATGAGCAGAAATGCATCAGGTAAGCAGTGGAACCCAGTCATGGGCTAGAACTTGATCAGAAATATCTCTTTTCTCGTTATTCCTTTATCTGGGAATGGTATGCTAATATAAGTACTAATTGGATGGTTAATCTCTTAAAGAACAATGTCTTTCTTTTACCATGCAAAGCAGTCTAGCAATAATGTTTACAGAACTACTTACTATTGGCTTTGTTTCTACGCAGATCAAACACAACTTTCTTTTTAGTTCCAGGAGTCATGGATATTGCAGGAGTAGAAAAGGGCTGAAATAAAGCCAAATATTGCATTATGACAAAAGAATCCATATAAATCTTCAAGACGAATGAATAAGGAGGATAGTATTTCAAGTGGCTACACAGTCCAAGCTGCGAGCTACATATTTGGCCTTTTGTTTTCTAGAATGTCATTCATTATGGGTTTTCTAGTGTTTTGGTATCCCAGACAAGGATATGCATATCCAAGAGATGTTTATGAAGATGTAAATATGCTAAACACAACAGTGTACATGAACCCCCCCCCCCCCCCCCACACACACACACAGATTTACAACTCAGCTGACAATATGTAAATTTAAGATCTATAAATGAACTCCAAAAATGTTAAGTAGACCTATGACTAAAGCTGCTTGTCCAGTTATGAAGTCATGACCTTCACAACAGTATGTTAAATTAGTTTGAGTTTTTGGCATAAACATGAACATGTCTGGAGTAAAAGCAACAGCCATTGGATTTATGTGTATTGGTACTTTCTGTAATCAAACTAAAAGAGCCGCCAAAACAATGAATTTATTAGAATGAATAGTATAAATATTCCTAGACTGCAAATTGAGATGCAGAAATCTACATAATAAATGAAACTTTTTTTACTACTCAACACACACCCAAAATAATGCATGGTAAGCCTCAAGCAAATCTCCATCAGCATGACAAAAAAAAAAAAAATCTATAAAATCCAATGAAACAAAGCCCTATGTTTTTCCCACAACCTGAAATAGTAAATTACTTGTTTCACAATGCATGTTGTTGGTTCTGTAGTTAAGCTCAGATGTTTAGGAGATCTCTGTCATCTACAGCCAAAAATAGCAAGCACAACATATATAAATTCTTATACCACAAAACGGTCATGACAATCCAGTGAGGAAAAACAATTTAAAAAAAAAAACAACAAAAAACACAGAATCCTAAGATATCTCTGGTGAATTAAGAAATGCATTTTCTGAGATCAAGAAAGACATTTTAAGCATAAATGAAATGTTTCTCGATTGTAGAAGAAAATATATGCTACAGTAATGCAATTTAATCCTGATTATCCCCTAAAATTGTGTTTTAGCTCCAAATCCCTGATTTGTTTTGTTACAATCATTGTTCTGTTCACTGATCAGATTGAATTGTCTATGTGCACTTTATAATTGGTTAGTTCATGTCTGTGTCTTGTTTCATGATAGTGTTTACCTATGAAATTTGTTTCAATGGTTCAAGTCTAGGTTTTCAACAAACTGTCTCTGAATCAGCTACAATCTGAATTCTATTTCTAATTCCCTAAGACACAATCATACACTTACTTTGCTTTCTTTACTTAGACGACTGGGACCAGGGTCACTTTTGTTGTCTAGTGCTCCATGACTTTTTTTGACAGACAAGGAACTGGTAGGAGTCTGAGGTGTTCTAACATAGCCACCAGGTGGGCTGTTTTTTTTACTTTTACTTGACTTTGGAGGTGAACTGGAAGATGTTGAA